AAATACTGCGTACTGAAGAACCACAAAAGTTGTTGTTTACTGAGAAAACAAAATACTATCTTATGCCGTCTGTCGAAAAATTTCTCATTTTTTCATTACTTTAAAAGTAATTTGTGGGTCTCCGTTGATGTCACCCCGTTACAAGGCAACGTCAAGTTCTAGTCCGTATTTGTGGTTTAAATGGTGGAGTAGATTGGTTTCATGCACATTTAGCAGACACGTTGCTAACTTTTCAACTTGAGCCAAGTTCTGCACTAAAATCACCAAACTAGTCATAACAAATTAAACAATGCAAAATTCACATTTTTTCCTGCAAAAAAGCTAATTGAAATTTAAAAAACACAAAACCTAAAACATACGAAAACCAAATTTACAAAATCTAAAAAAGCTATTAATGGAGCCAGAATATTCAAAATTAAGGAATTTAATTTTGAAATTAGAAAATTACGTCTGAATTAGAAAACTTACAAAGTCCAAAAAGGCGATTAATGCAACCAAAATTCCGTTGCGATTTCGGAGCTGTTTGAATCTGTACGTTGCACTGAGCAAGTTTAGATTACCGAACATGCCAAATAAAAGTACAGGAATCATAAGAACTGCTGATACTTCGATAGTTTTCATTCTTCCCAAAAAAACAAAATGATAGTTTAAAATTGCATCACTTTTGAAACATCAGGTGATCAGCCATTTCCTGGCCTGAAGGAGCTAAACTTTTCTGACAAATAGCCCTGGGCCTTTTATCAGCAGTAGCCAGCGGCTATCTGAGACCAGATGTTGCAATATGACTGAACTTTCGATTTGTAGTATCAGTTTTGCTGGAGAGCGCCACCGTTTCAGATATGTGTACTTTATGCTTTTTTCTATCCCCAGCCACACATGTAAATCATCTTCTCAGCGCCTGTCTGATTCATTAAATCACTGGCCAGCACTGACCGCTACAGTTATTCATGAAATATTTGATCACAGTACTGCTGTGCAGTAGCGAGAAGTATGCTGAACGAGAAAAACTGAAAAAGTACTTCTAAATTTTCAACTTGTGTTTTGAGAAAAGATGTGACGATATTTTTGAATTTTAATTTTTTTTTTTAACATTTTGTTGAAACTGAAGTAACGAGCAAAGCTGAAAAGAATGAGAGTTTAAAAATTCCGGAATAAAACCTACCACAAAAAAAAACATGCTAATTAGGACTGGTTCGAACGATCGCAAAGGTAACACAGCACTGATTAAATAGGGAGACGTACAAAAAAAGGATAAACATATGACAAGATAATTATATAGAAAACAAAAATTTCTGATAGAGAAAATAATTACTTCTCATTATGAGCAGACAGCTGAACGGAGCCGTTACGAGCTCCGCATAAATTTTTTACTTGGATTAACTGCAACTCACAAAATATTGCTCCAAAAATACAACAGAAAACTTTTCCAATTGCTTGTTTGACCAATGCTGCGTTGCGTGATGGTCAACTTGTTGATAGTCCTGATCTTCGTTATAGTTCCTGAAATCATTACCAGCTCCATGGTTCTCAGAACAAAACCTAGGCTGGAACGCACCAGGCGAGCCGGAGCGATCATGCGTTTTTGCACAAAACTTG